TGGTAAACGGCAAAGATTAGGCCGCATTAAAGTCCAAGGCAGCACAAACAAACCAAAAAACAAACAAACAAAACGAGAAGCCATGAAAAGGCAATAAAAATGTAGCCGCACACACACACACAAAAGAACACAAAGAAGAAAGTGAAAATCTGGTGCAATAAATTTACAATTAGTTTTAGTGCTCTGCGTCGCCAGGGCGTATGCGTAATTTGCCAGCGAGCGCTGTTAAGACGTCTTATTTTTAGCCAATTAGCTGGCAGAGAGGAGCGGAGAGGTGCAAAATTTGCACAGCTCATCAGCAGGAAAAGAACTGAGAAGTGTAGGCGAAGAAGGGAAATCTCTCTTGCCAGAAACTTTTTAGCCAGGTGCTTACAAATGCTTTGCAATTATTACGCTGCTGCACCACATCGCACCCTGCCGCCTGCCGTTAAGTATGCAACACAATTTATGCACTTTCAGCCAAGCTCCCAATCTCCGGATGATGTTGTTGTTTGCTCTGCACTTTTGAGCTCTTTCTGCCAAAGATTTGCATTTTCAATTTGTTCTGTCCTGTTCTGTTCTGTTCTGCCTTTCCCCTCTGCTTTCATCTTCTTTTTTTGTTTTTTTCTGTGTGATTCTTGCGTGATTCTCGCTGCAGAGATGAAGACGAATGGAACGAGATTACTCAAGCCGGCAAGCGAGGCAACTCTCAGAGGCAGAGACATGTTGTTCATCTGTTACGGGTCTTCACCCCGTCTGACAAATTGTGTCCCGTACCCCCCCACTTAACATTCAAATGTGGCAACCAAAATCAAAGGCCAGGCTTGCTAGCAAATTCAACAATTTTTATAGAAAATCTTGGGGCTTACAACACATTTGCCTCAGCATCCCGCCCCCTCCACACACCATTCTTTGAGTCCTTATCGGCATTTGGCATCGGCATTTGGCATCGGTATTTGGTATTTGCTATTTGGCATTCCTAGCCCTTTTTTCTGTGTGTTCCCCTGGGCCTAATGGCATTCGTAAGTGGCGTCTAAGCTGGGACATTTTGTTTACTTGTCGCTGGAAGTTTTTTGGTACCACTTCAACGGCGCACCAGGCAAATCTCAAGCATCTCCCCCATATTTGCTATTCGATGCGTACCTTCCTTCTACTTTTACTTTCAATTTTTGTGTCCCTGAGCCCCCTGCCCCGCCCACTACAAATTGACATGTTACGAGTATTTGTGCCAGAAATGAATTGGGTAATTTTTGATGGCAATGATGGGAATGGCAATGGCAATGGCAGCATTCAAATGCTTAACAAGTTGAAAAAGTTTTCTCAAATTTTTAGCGACATTTTTTTTTGCCCCAACGGCATGTAACCAAATATAGCATACATGTGTGTGCATCAGTGTGCGTGTGTGTGTGTGGCACGGGTTGCCACTTTGCTGCACTAAATTGCATTTAATTCTGAGATTTGCCCGTTGTGGTGCCGCGGCTGCCGTTTGGGTTCCTCGTGGCCTTCACCCAAATAAACCAGCGCTTGTATGTGCATGTATATGTATGCGTGTGCTGCCTGTGTTTGCCTAAAATTTATGTGTGAACACAATGCACAACAACACCAACACCCAGCACACACACACCACATTTTGTTGCTGCATGCAACAAAGCAAAACAACAACAACAACAATAACAAAAAAAACTGCTGCATATTTTTGCGCGGCTTTAAAAATGCCAACTCAAAAGAATTAAAAAACGTGTATGGACACACTCACACTCACACTAATGCACGCGTGCACACACAAGCACACACACACAACATAATAAAACGTTTGCATAATTATACTCTAGGGTGCAATGGGGGGTATGGGTATGCTGCTTTTGCTGTGGGGGCCAGCAATTGAAGAAAATAGTTTTGGGGCATGATTTTCATTTTGTTAGCAAAAAGTTTAAAATTAATTTTCAGTTAAATTTGTTATGTTATAATTATGTTCAAGCATTTACCATTTTTAGAGACTTTTCGTATACCAATTAAAGTCGAATTAAAAAATAATTCTGTTGGCTTTCAAGCGTTACATCCTGTAAGCAACCAACAGGTTAAAGTCCCCAAGGAACTGGAATACAAAAAAAAAACCGATAGCCACAAGACATTATTGTGGATCATTCAGCGAAGGTACACAAGCAAGGTTCACTCTATTTTGGCTATTTTAATTAATTAACTAAAATTATTGTAATATTGTTGTTGAGTTGATATCATGGCAATGATCTGCTTCCCTCTGTTTACTGGCTTCTGAGCTGCAATTCTCCACGAACTCGTCAGGCAATAGAAGAATCGAATCGCAATATCATTTAAGTTAAAATGAGCCAAGTTCGAATGAGCTGCCAATTTTGGCATTTTCCCCTTTGAGGCACAGCTGCGTATTCCAGCAGAGTATTCCACATTCGTTAGGCTTTAATGAAGCGTATGCATTCCATTTAATTTTTTATGATTCGTTGCAATGCAAATGAATAAGTCTACTCCCCCTTTAACTGTACATAGTTGTGGCCTGCGAAAGTGTTTTATGGCAAGACAGAAAAGACAGAGGGACAGACAGGCGGGCAAGACAGAAAGAAAGCTAGAAGGCTAGATGGCTAGCTTCCTGTTGTTATTTTGTTTTTTTGCGATTTGTGTGTTAGATCAAAAATGTAACAACTTAATTAACTTAAATTGGGTTGGCAGTTGGGGCGATAAGGGGAGCGGCGCAATGCGCTGGATTCCATTTTATGTTTACGACTCCGGCCCCGGCCTGGGGGCCCGGCCCTGCCAGCCAGCTAGACTGCCCAGATTCGTGGCTTCGGGGATTGAGTTTTCAGCGAGTTCCTCCGCACAGTTGACACATTTTCCTTGGCATGCAAGACACGGACAAGTTTTCCACGTTGGCGCTTAAAAAGTTTTCCCTCAACCAACAGGCAAAAACAAAACAAAAAAAGAAACGAGAAGTAAAGTAAAGTAAAGAGAGGATTGCGAAAACTAAGCTGAGGACTTTTAAGGGGGATGGGGGGTATGGGGATCTGGTAGAGTACTTTGACGAGATTTGCATAAAATTAAGGATTATTGTTAGCAGGATTCGGGGAGAATGGCGTGGCAATATTGAACTTTATGCGCATATTGATGGCCGGCAATCCTTTGACACGGCTCCATGGCCACCAGCACCCGTATCCGTACCCGTACCCGTACTCGTACCCGTAGCCCTCCCACAGCCAGTTTGCGCCTCCAAATTCATTAGCAAATATTTGTGGTCCAAGGGGCATGCGTATATATATTTGAGTTATGGCGAGCTGTGTTGTGGCTTTGGCCTGGCCAATAAATCAACTGGCCGACACACAAAAACAACCACACACACACACACACACACACACAGTCGCACAGATAATTGTGGGCATTCAATTTGATTATTCAATTGCAAAATGCTGACAGCAGCTAAAGCAAATTCCAAGAGGAAATGCACACAAAGATGCATTTGGTCAGATACAATGGGTTCCTGGAATCCTGGTTCCTGGTTCTGCTGCACGCTGCTGCTGCATCCTTCTGCCCCAGATAATGACATTAGAAGTGCAAAGTGCTTACATAATTGAATCGCCTACATCCTGATAGCCCAGAGCAGAGCTTCGCTTCTCCTTCTATCTTGTTCCCGTTCCCATTCCCCTTCCTGTTTCGTGCACTTTGATGGGGAAATGGATATTTATGGGGCGTACCCAAAAACCGAAAGTTGTCTCTCTATTAAAAATAAATTATATGCGGGGCCACGCAACCAACAAAAAAAATTGTACGAGTATTTGGCTTTGGCCACGTCTTGGGCCATAAATTTCCACAAAAACAAACTGACTTTGCGGCCGGACTGAAGCCCGTGGCCCCTGGCCCCTGGCCCCGGCAACAGGTGCACGCGTGTCGGCCACAACCAGGAAGTGGAAGTGGTCCCGATTCCAAGCCAGAGGCTGGCCCTCGTCTCCTGTTTAATGCATGGAACCCATGGACTACTCCCCGCAACAAAAACAATAAATCACAAAAAAATGTTGCTTCTTTTGCATTAAAATTTACAACCTACTAAACAAGACAAACGTTCCGGGTCCGGGTCCGAGTCCGAGTCCGGGAGTTTTCCCCCCACTTGACATGTGCACGCGCGCGAGAGCTCCCCGATATATGGCATGAATAATTATGCATAATTCAGGCATACATTTAACGGATCTAGGACCAAAGCGAGGGCTTAAAGGAGTTGCAACAGCAACAGCAGCAGCAACAGCAGCTGTAATTAAGTTCCCCAAATCAGAAGGAGCATCAGTTGTCAGACAATTAGCAGCCAAGGCAGAGAGGTCGAAGTCTCAGGCTCAGGCTCAGTCTTAGTCCCAATCTCAGCTGGCAAGCGTCTTGGGCTGGGCATAATCAATTGAGCAGGAGTATTGAGTTATTAGGCTTTTCGAGTGCGTTTGTGTGTGGGCGGGCCATGGCCGTGCCTCAATGAAATGCCACTTAATGTGAGTCTAATGCGAATGCCATTGACAGAAGCCAACAGCCAGCCGTTAGAGCGAGCGAGAGAGAGAGAGTGAGTGAGTCAGCCAAGCTGAGGGCACTCAGCTGTTAAACGCGACAGCGACAATGATGATGACAGCCATTTTTGGTAGCAGACTGCCACACTGCCAGACTGCCACACTGCCAGGCTGCCACAACTTTTCGTGGCCAATTTTGTGGCCAACTGAGTAGATAAACAAATGATGGGGAAGGGGCAGGGGAAAGTGGATGTGGAAGTGGTGGCAAAAAGCAGTCGCTGTGCCATGTCACCGACAATTAAGGGCTTGCATTGAGGCATTTCCAAGTATTGTGTACATCTGTTTAATGCCACCTCAGTGGAGAACAACTTTTGGATTACCGCATGGGTGTGGGGCAAGCCCAGCTGTCAGCTGTTCTTGGGGGGGGGATACCACCTACCATTCCACCTGTGTGGCCTCCTTCCACTGTGTTATAAGGCAGCTCCGTTTGTGGATCTGCAGCACAGTTCGCCATCGACCATGAAGCTACTTCCGCTACTCAGTTCTGTGATGGGCTTTCTTCTGACTGCCAAGGCCGAGCAGCAGCAGTTCGTGTCCCTGCCAACAGCAGCAGCAGCAGCAGCAGCAGTGGCAAACAATCAGAGCCTGGGACTGGCCACAGGACCCGAGAATCCCTACTGCAAGGCGCAGCTGTGTCCACGCGGCAAGCGGCATGTGGCCTGTGAGAAGTACACAACGGTGAGTGTGTCCATCGGGTAGAGAGTTTATGCCTAATTTAATCCTCTATTTAATCCACACACAGCCTTATCACAGATCCTGCCTGGCTGCCCAGCCAAAGCTGGTGAATCTCACCGGACACGCGGACATGATCCTCAAGCAGCACAACGAGCGGCGACACCGTGTGGCCAGTGGCAAGAACTCCTCGCTGCCGCGCTCCGCCCGCATGGTGGTGATGCAGTGGAGCGAGGAGCTGGCCACGCTGGCCGGCTACAATGCGCGCATGTGCCAGGCCAAGCACGACGACTGCCGCAACACGCACAACTTCACCCGCTCCGGCCAGAACATCATTGTGTTCAACATGACGCATCATGTCGAGGATGAGCTGCTCGAGCGGCTGTATCCGGAGCTGCTGGGCATCGGTGTGCGCACTTGGTGGTCGGAGCATGCCAACATGACCGCAGCGGATATGGAACAGTATCCGTGCGACCAGAAGCGGCAACAGTAAGTGGACCACCGTTGCATTTGACCTTTCTGCCTGCCCCTACACTCCTCCTGCTGCTGCTGCTACTGCATTACTACATTCCCTGCATTTCATTTCGATATATTTCCGACAGACTCCACCGACACTTTGCGGTCATGGCCATGGATAGCAACTCGCATGTGGGCTGCGCCGGCATCCGGTATGTGACCAAGGGCCTGACCTACTTCAAGCTGACCTGCAACTACGCCAAGGAGCCGGTGTGCGGCCAGCCGATCTATCGCATCCGCACTGAGGGCTGCCTCACGGGCCGCAACAAGCAGTATCCAGCCCTCTGCTCACCCAATGAAGTATTCACTTAAATCCGTCACCCCGTCCACCCGTCCGCCGTCTGCCGTGGTGCATCCCATGTTTATCTGACAAATATTCGTTAATCCCCACACCCCACACACAATAAATATTCAGCAAGCAGTAACCAACCACACACCGAGAGATCTTTTGTCCTCCCATTCCCAATCCCAATCCCGAATGCGTTATGCCGTTATGGCTGCATGCACAAATTCAACCGGAGCCCACGCTCTCCATCAAAATGGAATTTCTGCCAATTTCCTGTGCACAGTCACAGTCACAGCACCCGCCCAGTGCCCTGTGGCTGCAATGGCGGGACAGGAAGCGTTGATGGCACAGCAATTACCTGCACAAAAACCTGGGTGGGGGGGGGGGACACAGCCCAGCCAGCACAAAGAACTGCGGTACGCGCCCGAGGGTTACCTCAACCAATATTTATCCGCGACACAGCCGGATCCCACTCTACGAATAGCAAAAATTATGCATTGCATCGCATTGCATCGAGTAAAACCCCTTCATTAGTGGATCTCCGTTTCCGCAGCTCTGCCAAATTGGCAGGGGTGTCAACGAGTTGATTAGGGGGATGACAGCAGCAGCCGGGCTCCGGTCTAAGCTCATTTAATTTAATTTTATTTCTCCATAAACTTTATGGCTTGTTTCGGATTGCTACGAGTATTTAATGCCCCATCGAGTGTCGTTTGGGTCATTAACCGACTGCTGCCGTTCCAATGCAGTGGTGCCCCCCCCGAGCGCTTGGAGTGCGATGCTGTTGCCTGTACAAGAACATAAAAACTAACCATCATTGGTGGAGCAGCAGCAGCAGCAGCGGCAATCGTTGTGGAGGGGGGCTAAGCGGAATCCAGCAGAACACATGTTTTCTTAACTCAATGAGCTCTGTTTGAGGAGCTTCTCACACGGACAGCTGATGCTTGATAGTTAATTAAAACGTGTAGTTCTCCCCCCTCTATCAGCCAGCCAGCCAGCCAGCCAGCTCTCTGAATGGTATTCATTAGCACCCAGAGCTCTGGGTCCCACCCTCACGTACCACCACTGGAAAAGCAATCCGATTAGCACTCTGGGATCGGTGGCGTCTGTATTGCATTTCCCTTATTTTATGCGACTTCATTTGATTGAAATGCATGGGAGCAGAGTAGAGATGGAACGACGAATCGGCGAAATCGACTTTGGGTTCTTTGGAGCAGCTTGGATTGCATTTAACCGGCCCGGACATCAAGTGGCGTGGTCCTACCCACCACTCAACATCTACCTGTGTCTATATTTTCCTATGGTTGTGTGGGGGGGGGGGGGATCCTTCGCATGTCTGACACCTGGCGAGCAAAAAAGTAAAAGTCGCCACTTCCGTAGCACATAAATTTGAAGCGCTGCTCGTTTTTAGGGTTTCCTTTAACCCAAAAAACCCACACAAAAAAAAAGGCAACAAGCGGGCTAAAAAAAAAAAAAAAAATACAACAAAAAAATACATCCAGACGTTGTCCCTGGCGCTATTTTTCTGGTTTTACTTTTTACTGGTCTTCCACTGGTCGTTTTCCTCTCGCATTGCATGCCAAATTGTTCATGTAGTTTGCAGTTTTTGTTTTCCCACAATTTGTTTTGCTTTGGTTCACCGTTCAGCGTTCAGCATTCAACTCTACGCTCTGCGCTCTCTGTTCGCTTTTCCCTTTTCCGTTCTACGTTTTCCCGTTTCCCGTTTTCCGTTTTGTTTTTTTTTTTTGCTAAATTTTTAAGCACTTGAACTTAAAGCCTTTTCCCCCTTGGGCTGAAGAACTCTGGCAAACAATTTATCAATGAACGCATATGGCGTAGGGGGAGGGGGAGTGCAAGGGGAAGGTTAGTGCAAATGTTTGGCTCCACGGTGAATGCATCATCGACCTCTCCTCTGCTCACCACACATAAATATCTATTAAAGCCTTTCAAGTCCACAAATGCAAGTGAAGATTTACGATTTTTATGGTGGTTGTGGGCGGGGGGCTGATGCGGCATGCCAACCCTCTGATAATGGTGCATTAGCGTGCAAAGCGTTTTCGATGCATTTGCCATAGGGAAAAAGACAGTTAGATTTCTTCAGCGTAGCGTGCAACAAAAGGGTATATTATATTCGTGCATTCTTTAGCTAAAATACATTCGCAGAGAGCTTTGCATTTGCAACTAAAAATATCGATATTGGGTATTTAGCATGCACGATTTTATATGAACCTGATTTGTTAAAAATTGTTAAAAAAATACAGAGTTAGAGAAAAAAGTTCCACAATCAAATATAAATATAAGGAAATTCTATTCTTTACGAGGGAGCTATTTCTATAATTTTTTGTTATTTAATTTTCGTATAGGTAATCTCAGCTTAGTGGGTATCTCTCGGTCGAATTCTCCTAATTACTTATGCTCTTTTCACTCGCTTTCTGTTCGCTTGTAACGAAAGTCATTATCATTGTCAGCACGTAAAGCTTCTGCTCGCATGTTCGATTTATGTGTGTGTGTGTGTCGCCGCCTCTATTTCTGTCTCCCTCTCCGTCTCTGTGTGTGTGTTAGGGCTCTCGCGGTTTCGCCACACTCGCATACTCGCTATGTCTCTCTCTCTCTCTCTCTCTCTCTCTCTGTCTGGCCCACATGCTTGGTGTTGGCAAACCCAGAAGGTAAACGGCGACTCTGCTTTTTATGCTCCTAAGCTAAGATTGGCTAGACGATAGAAGAGAGAGAGTATATTAGACTGCAGTCTAAGACTGGCAAGTCTTAGATTGAAACAGATTAGGCGCTAATATTAGATTGGGCTCTTAGAGCGGGGATCTGTCGCCCAAAAATACTTGCCAGAATTTAATTCCCGTATGCCAGTGGCCCTTGAAGTTGTCTAGCTACTAGCTGGTAATGTCCGTTGCCTAATAACATTATTATTATAATACAGAAAATAAATAAAAAATCTTATGCAGCTTAGCCGTAGAAACGATCGATCTGCAAGGAGTATCTAAATCTTCCCTACCCCTCCCCCCTGCACCAAGTTACTTTCCTACTTATTTTCATTTTTATTGCCTCCACATCGCGCCCCCCCGCTGGTCTGCCTGGTAATGGAGCACGGTTTACGTTTATTAGCATACTTCTCGGCGAACTGGCTTTAGCTTCCACTTGCTCTCGCTCTCTCCCTGGCATGGCCCTCTTGGCCATGGCTCAAGGTGCGTTTAATGGCGGACATCTAGTTGCGTTGCCTTTGCCCGGGCATTTTATGACTTCATTAGGAAGCCATTTACGAGTATGTGCTTTAGATGTGGGCACCTCTAGCTCCCCCACTCTGTCCGGCTCTGCTCTCAATAACCCAATCCCAATCCCACTCCCACTCCCATTTTTTGTTGCCTCTTTATGGCATCGAACTGAAGGCCAATTGATTTGATATAGCAGATGGAAACAAAAGGCGACAGTGGAGTGTGTCGAGTGGAGTGGAGTGGAGTGTGCCCCAGAGCTAAAATCTAATGAAATTTATGCAGGCGCTGCATTGCAGCTAAAACATGAATGGAAAGCGCCGCACACTCTGACAACTTCTACCTGTGTGTTGCACTATACGATGTCTACGTGTGTGTGTGTGTGTGTGTGTGTGTGTGTCTATGGCTGACCTAGTTCCTTGGAAGGGGGCACCTTGCTGTCGGGTTTGGATTTTTATGAACACTCTGGGAATGCCTTTTGTCTCGGGCTCTTAGCTGAAAAAAAAAACCCCCATCGATGGCCAGCTGGAGCCAGTTTGGCGACCTGTTTCCTCCCCAATCCCCATTCTCAGCCCCATTCTGGGCGAGTCAAGGCGAGTCAAGTCGAGCATGTGGAAGTAACAGTTTAGCGCTTAAACATGCCCCCAAGTGGCCCCCTTCCACCCGTAGCCATGTGCGAGTCCTGTAGTGTGGCGGAGCTTTTCACTTTTCCGCAAAACTAAATTCGTGCATATTTCTTGGCCAAAGTAAAAGTTTTTGCAACAAATACAATTTGTGCTCACTCAGTTTTGAAAAACAAACAACTTAAAGTGCTCCTGCCACGGACACGGATGAGCATCCTGATATAAGGTGTCAGATGCTTGCCGGGAATGGGAACGGGGTGGGTTTGGTCTGGTCTGGTCTGGTCTGAAAAGGAAGGAAGCTTTTCCAAAAATGCCAAATGATAAATGCATTTTTAATGGAGCACCCGAGACGCCAAAAAAGGGGGGTAGGTGGGCACCACAGCTTCCTTAGCGCTTCCTTAACGCGCTTCTAGTATAGGCGAGGCTTAGGTGCTGGCTGAAAGAAACGAAGCCAAAAAAGCGGTAAGCGTAAATGAGAACAAGAACCCATCCCTCCCCTGGCTCCCCCTCATGGAATCCACCATAGAGCTTTTGGTTAAACGGATGATTAAGCCAGTGTTGGGCTCCTTTAAACCCCAGCGTATGCTTGTTTCAATTAACCGAAACGAAACGAAACCACCAAAGCAACAAATTGCCGCCATACCCTCTCTGCTGGATAAACAAATGCTCGGCACGTGTGTGTGTGTGTGTGTGTTAATAAATGGCCGGGAGTTTAACCTTTTGACCGAGCCCAGCCCCTGCCCCAGCCCCAGCCCCAGCCCAACCAAATGGGCAATTGTTTAAGCTTTTATTTGTGCAATCAGCCTGGTAATGCAATGCAATCGCTTTTCCCCCGCATTCCTGATCGTCAGCTCAATTTAATCAATATTCCAAACACAAAGGCAACCAAATAAAAAAAAACAACAACAAAATACAAAAAAAGAAGGCAACTTTCAATCCAAAATTGTGGCTAAACCTAAACTGGCAAATGGAACACATAGTACGATTAGTTACGAAAAGGGCACAGCGTGTGGTGTGGCAGGAAGGAACGTGGCCGACTAAAAGCATGCCACACAAATTGAAAATAAATGCTCCCGAAATACACAAAAAAAAAAACAAAACAAAAAAAAAAGAAAACGCCTCGCTGACCATTTTAATTTACTAAGTTTTGATGATGCATAGAAAAAAACCAAAAAACACACAAAATAGATATATGTACATATCTGTATGTATATAAATGTGCATGAATTTTGTATTGGAAACATACAATTTACACACAACAGAAGAAATAAAAAAAAGGTGTAAAAGCAAAGCCAGA